AGCGTGAGGAGGAAGGAGCAGCAGAGACAATATGTTATGAACTGACCACAACCCCCATCCCCCTGCACTGCTCAGGGGTGGGAAGGTGGAAGAGTCAGGAGTGAAATTGAGCCTGGAAAGAAGGGAGATGCAGGGTGAGGTTTTATAGATTTGTTCTTATTTCTTAGTATCCTACTCTGTTTAATTGCAATAAATTAATTTCCCCAAGTCCAGTCTGTTTTGCCCATGACAGTAACTGCTGACTGATCTCCCTGTACTTATCTTGACCCACGAGCTTTGCTAGATCCAGCGTTTTGATGAATGAACAGTAAGAATTTAAACATTAGAATAACTACAAATACTCTTATTGTAATCATTCAGAGGGGAATCCAAGTCTTAACTTCATTCAGGTCAAGGAAAGAATGAAAAGCAGATGGTTAACTGGAGTTGAAGTTAGGCTGACTGCTACAAGAGAAGATGTGGAAGAGATGTGCGGGTGGTTAAGAGACTCCTTCCCCAAGTGCATGATGGCAGTTTCGGAACACAGATGCAGTTAAGGAGTGCCACTCTTTCACTGCAATCTCACCACGCACAGTTCCCTTGTCCACCCACTGTGACCCCTTGGCCCTCCTTTCATGATAGTCCTCTCTCATGAAGCCTAGTTATTCCAGCCATGTGCTCCAATTGCTGTGCTCACAGAAATACTTCTCTTCCTGTTGGCCAGCCCACTATAAGCAAGCAAGCTATGTAACAGGCCTGCAGACACAAACATCTTGCTCTACTGGTTTGACAGCAAGGCACAGATCCCAGCCATTTCATAGCCAAATGAAACAGACTGCAGTCATTACCTGAGGGGAGGAGAACTTCTTCCCGAAGCCCTTACTCCCAGAAGAAACCTTTATATGTCGTTTCTTCTCTGCCACGTACATCAAGGTTCTTCCAAACATTCAAGTCAGTTGGCCATCTACCACTTTCTTCTTAAAGGCATCTTTTCAGATCACTGGATCAAAGCAGTCAGTTCTGTTCACGTAAACAGCAGATCAGAGAGTTCAATGAAAGAGTGACTCTGCAGCATCACTGTCTGGCATATGGTATTACTGGTCTCACTCCTTCACATGAAAAAGAAGCAACCAAAAAGAATGCAGCCACTGAGCTCTCCAGGGTATGACTTAATACCCATAGGGCAGGGCATACAGCCCCAGTTTAACAAGGCTACTTGTACCCATTCTGTTTAGGGCAAAATGTTTATTTGCTATATGTAGGCTTTGTTGAAGGCTCAAACCCCATGCTCTTGCCTGTTGGAAGACTCAGTCCAGTTCCCGTCCTGGACTGGGGTACTTTCCTCCCAGCAGGGGCACTGTTCCTGTAGGAACCGAGACTCTCGGTTCTCTGAGATACTCTGAGAGTATACCTCTCAGCTAGGTATAACCATTAGGCTCTGCTTTCCATCACCTGTAACGACAAGGACCAACTTCACACACTCACATTCTGGCATAACTAAGCATTTGAAGAGAATATGCTTGCTGGTTCCTTGAGAGGGAAAGTTTGCCTAACAGATCCTCACTGCATACTCCTCAAAGAGCCAAGCCTTAAAGAACACCTCCTTTCAAATAAAGCTATGCAAGTTATCTTCATCACACTATGCCTACATGCCAGTTCTCAAAACGGGAAGATGCCACAGCACAGGAAGCTAAAGACCCGCTGCACTTGTAAGAACTGCTTTGCACCCCCAGGTTTCAGCATGACAGTTTTTCCAGCCTTCCTGATCTTTCCCAATCCCACCGTGAGTTTCCAGTCACTTCTTTGTCACCTGGATCTTTCAAGGCTGTTGCAGAGTGCCATCTTATTGAGTAAACAAAGAGGTAAGTCAAATTCAACACATGAGCAGCACTTCCCATTAACTGCACCTTTCCCCTGCTGTAATAGGTAACAACCTGCTCTAGCCTCACCTCAGCAGAAATACTGTATGTTGCAGCACAACTCAGTAGCTTCCTTACTTCTTAAAGATGAAGCTGGATTTTAGGGGCTCCTACTGAACTTCACCTAGACTTTTCACCAGGGATTTTTAAAACCTTTCTTGCTCCCAGATATGCCTAGAGGGAATAAGCAGGCCAGTCAGGAACTGCTTTCAAAAGCAATGCTTGTTTGCAGATGGTGTGATGTTAATGGTGCATTCTTGCTTCAGCTTCATTTTATTCCCCCCCCCGCCCCCCAGTCTGTCCATGGCACCACTTGGGGTAGTGGTTTCCCACTTACCTGTGTGAACAGTCTTTTAAACACACAGCTGCACTCCTCTTAGTCAAATAGGCAGAGCTGCACAGAAAACATTTTGCATGTCCTTCTCATTGCATAATCGCAACCCAGAGCTTACATCCAAGAAGATCCTTGATGGCTCATCCTCAACTGAAGGGTGTGGTCACTTCTTGGACTAGAAAAATCTTGTTTCAAATAGGGAACATACGCAGCAAGCTGTTGAAGGACCCCAGGCCTCAAGAGCCAGGAAATTCATGCATGCTTGTGAAATGAGTGTAAGGCTGAGTCACACATGAGCTCCCTACCACAAAGCCAAGAGGCTCACTCATTCCACATTGCCTGCATATGTAGCAGGAAGCCTTGCTTTTCATCAGTGATACCCAATGAGAGCACAGCTCACCTAGCCCTAACCACAGCGTTAGGCATAGCTGCTAGCTACAGCCCTGCTTCCTTATTTACTGAATTCTTATCCAGGACAACACCCAAGCCAGCAAGAAAGCCATTTTGCTATGGTGGAAAAACACAGCAGTTCTCCTTGGTAACTCTGGGAAGAGTAGCAGAATGCTATACAGAGGCTGGCAGGTCAGCATTAATCTAGACAACCCGGTGCAGGACTGGAGGACTGCAGAGTCCAGTTTACTGTCCAGCACAAAGAAGTGTCCAGTATGTTCCAAGAATGCAATAGTGCAGTCAAATGAAGATGACAAGAATACAGCAAGAATCTAAATTATCTTGGGCTTAAGACACTGAGTTTTACCTCTTCAGTCATTTGTTCCAGACTATTGCCTAGGAACAAAGCAGCCCATCTCAGATACTAAACACACTTTCCTACTAGTAGAACCAGAAGGTACACCAATGGCAAGGCAAAACTGGAAAGGCAAAAAGGCAGCAGCTCCGAGTCCTGCCTTATACTTCCATGGTAGGATTGGTTCTGATGTTTAATATACAGCCAAATCTTAGCTATGAAGTCTAAAATGAAGCTTGACAAATTTTAAAAGAAGCTTTAGCTAAAAACAGGTAACAAAGGAAAGAACCTTTCTCCCCCTGTGACCACCCTATTTTCTACAACTCCTAACCCCGCTTTCTGTACCTGCAAGCCAGACTGCCACTCTTCAGATTACAGCCTGGTGACTACCACCTGAGTAAGGTGGCAGCAGACTTCTCCTGAAGCAACTGTCATTGCTGTCCCATGCGACACAATTTTCCATCCCCAGCAATAACCCAGTAATAGATCAAGCTGCATTTGACAAGAGTCCTTGTAGCCAGACAGTACTCCTTTAACAAAGCAAAAACTGACACCTTGATGACATTAATCTTCCTCACATTTTCAAACACAGGGCAATATGCAAAAGTGAAGAATTTATACTTTATTGTACTCATTTACATAGATCAAGAAGATGGTTTCCACCACTTAACCTAGCCAGCTTGTTTAGATTTTTTTTTTACGTAGAAAAGTTACAGGCTATAATTTAGCCAAAGCAGTCATGCTTCAATGTCTCAATGGCTGAAGATTAGACTAGACTTTTAATGGTCTCTTCCAGCTTCTCTTTATTGGCCCCAGAGAACTCCTGCACCTGTAAAGAGAGATTGATTTTTAGAACTGTTGCATTCAACGCTTCATAAAATTAGTTGCATAGCATCCAGAGATATATACACCTATTCAGCTCCGCTACAACTAAAACTTTTTCACCCCCAAAACAGGGAGTATTTTGCAGACGTTCATCTATTTGTCTGCCACTCAACTCATGCAAAAATTGAGACGAGTCTATCAAGAATCACTTTCCAGACTACCATTGCTGAAGCCTTCTACACATAAAGCAAGGGAAAAGACAACTGATCCTGAGCCAATGCTGTGTAAGACTCAAATACAGGCTTGAAGAGGCTCTGGAGGTCAGAGGTAGCTCAAAGTCACTTTGGGTTGCTCAGGACCCTTACCAATCAAATTCTGGAAGGATTGCTCCAAATGACCTGTCCCTCAGTCTGGCTTCTCCTGTGAGAATTGTCCTTGTTGCAACTTACACAGCAGAAAGATAAAGGCAACATTCATGTCTCAAACAGTGGCTCTGTCTTACAGTACCTACAGGGGTGCAAGGTACAGAGCAGACTATGCTACAGCCCATGAAATTGCTTGCTTGGGACCAATCTGTCCAGAGAACTGCCAAGGTCACCCAAAATAAAAAGCCACACAACAGGGCTAAGCATATCACCTTCACACACTGTCACATCATAATCACAATTCTTCCAACTACGTTATGAAACTGTGGAAGTTTATCCTGAGAAAACTGTCAAAGGTTCATTATTAGTCATGATTTGGCCCCATATTGATTTAAACTGAAGGTCACCCAACATCTGACACTCACTTTTCAGGCTCAATTGCATTGCCTTCAGCCATGAAACTTCAATCCAGGCATTGTTTTACTTTAGAAAAGCCTACCTTCAGCTTGCTTGGCAAACTAAAAGCCCAAGGTAACATGTTTAGCTCAACAATTCTTTAGTTCAGGCAGCCAGCTATTCACAACTACCCTGCACAGGCAGCCCACTATGCTGTCAGAGTGTGGCCTGCACCCCATCTCATCCACCTCTTGGCAGAGCAGGCACAAGAGGTCTGTTCAGTCCTCTGACAGGGACAGGACCTCCACTTCACAGGTCACACAGCCTCTGTGTAAAAGCATCCTAGCAGTTGTTTCAGCTGTGTGTATATTCAACCACATTAGAGACTTCTGTTTGGGTGGGATTCCATAGGCACCTATAGTCACATCTGCTTGAACATGAGCTGCATCCAGAGAACAAATACTAACCCAAGATCAGGAAAAAGCAGGGTACTAGGCAGAGAGACTAGCAGTCTTAACCCAGACATCTAACCCCACTAATCTCTCACGAAGCTCTGTCTTTAAGACTGACCTGTAACACTAACTCAGTTCACCACCTGTGAACAATAGGGTTTGCTTTGTCAGTTAGCTGCTGGTCCATGTTACATTTGCTGCGGCACTAAGATGAATTTGCTTGCTCTCAGGAGTGTCTTAATGCCAGTGGTGCCCCAGATACATTATCAAAAGAAAGCAGGCTATGTAGTCTAACATTCCCAATCTTCTTCCAAGTGTTTAGCTTGCCTGCTCCAATTCCAAAAGAGCAGAGCCTACCTTCTTTCCGTTCTTGTAGAACTGGAACGTTGGCATACACTTCACATCACAGTGTGTAGCAACATCCTGGAAGAGACAGAAAACAATCTTCAGCTGTGCACGTCTGAACAATGTTAAATTTAGCACCCACTAAGCTGCCTTTTGTTTAGGTGATAGGACAAGGCCATTACTGCTCAAAATGAAGCAAAAGCACTTCTGGTAGTCCATCACTAACAAAAACAGGGCAGTGTTAACATCTCCCTAAAGTAAGACTGAAGTTTCCTTCCTTCTGGATTTAATTCATGCCATCACAAAACCACATTTCCTATACCTGTACTCTGTGTTTGGAAAAAAACAGACCCCTGCATCAAAACAGAGATGACTATTTGTAAGGCTCAAGAGCCCTACGGCAACTCTTGTGTTTCAACCTGACATTGTTCAAGTACCTATTCGACACTGCTGGAACTGGTATACAGCAGACATGTTATTGCACTTAATTCAAGACATGAAAGAGGAAACAGTGCCGACAGCAGTGGGAAGACCAGACGAATCACCAGACAGTTGTGAGCTATTAGTTTTAGGGAAGATTGCATCAAAGCAGCTTAAGGCCTTAGACTAACACTCCCTCCCAAAGTAGAGGGTCAGTGATGCCAAGTTATCTAACACATGCCATAGGGCTTCAAATCTGCAGACAACCAGGGCAGTTTGTTCTGTTCAGGTGTCCTCTAAAAATTCATTCTTTCCAGTATAAGTGCAAAACCCCTATCTCCGCTTCTCAAAGTTAAAGTAATCTCTTGTTTTGTTTCAGTATCTGCAAGGACATTTTAAAAAGAGTTCTTCATTGTCACTTGTGTGGAACTCACTAGCTGCCTTCTCTCAGCATTACCCTGGACCATACCTGGGCATCATCCACATCAATTTCGATGAACACCACATCGCCATACTTCTCACACAAACTCTAGAATGAAATAAGAAACTATGCAGTTACAGTGTTCCAGGAAAGCTTTCTTTTTAAAAGACAGTCATATAAATTAAGGCTGGTGCTGCTTACCCCCCAGTGAAACTTGCCTTGTTAATTAAAGCAGCTATTTTACTGACCAAAGCAAAAATTTTATTTTCTGCTCCAATACCAGGAAGAGTCTGTTGAAACTTGTTCAAACATACTCCCCACAGAGAAGACTCAAATATTCCAAGACATAGGTGAAAGGCCTTCTCTTACAGCCTTCAGCTCATCACCAAAAGATGCTACAGCTTATCTCTTACTTTACTAGGAGATAACATTGCCACCTAACACAGCTGGAGTGATTACAGTAACTGTGTACAGATGGATAAGCATTGTTTCCACCCTATATCCCACCTCTTGAGGCAATGCAACTGTTAGGTCCCTATAGACCCAAGATGCATATAAGCATTAGGACAGCAGAAGTTAAACCACATTTGAGCTCCCAGCTATATCAAAGGTCAGTATATTTAACTCAATAGTCTCAAAGTAGATACTTTTGTGAATTCTCCCTTTTCCAGACAATGCTGGCAATCACATGTGGCAAAAGGAAGTTTCCTCCGCATTATCGTCAAGCAGCACAAAAAACATTTGTATATACTTTAATACAGTTGCCAATAAAACCAGGAAGGCTACTTACGTGAAAAAAGGGCTTGATCATTTTGCATGGTCCACACCATGTGGCAGAGAAATCAACTACTATAAGCTTCTCACCAGCAGATTTCAGTTCTGCCTCAAATTCAGACTATAAAAAAAGAAAGAATTGAACACATTAATGATTTTCCCCTCCTTTCCAAAACAATTTAGACTAATCCCAAAGCTAGTTTGCTCTCAGCCTTAACACACTAACCATTTTGGTAGCTCTTTAAACACTTAACTAGGGTATTTGTACCATCATGTAAGTGCTTCAGTATTAACTGCTTTCATCAGTGCTAGCAACAACCAGCATCTTATGACTCTTCAATCAGAAAAGACCACAATGCTCAGTCACCCCAACTCACTGAATTGTGGAAACATAAGCTAGAAATTCATCTAGCCTACGATCCTCAACTCTGGCAGCTCTGTTTATTATTACCCCCGAATGTGATTCTTATGGTTTTTAATAATCCATTTTCTCATTTCTGTCTTGGCAGGAAGACTTCCGTTTTCTTCTGGGACAGACTTTCCTCTGCAGAATTTGGAAGGACACAAACCTTTGTACACTCCTCCAGTTCAATGCCTTTTCCAATCAATGGCTAACATCAAACTTATGTTGTGTGGTTTACTCTACAGCCTGTTTTCTAAAGCAACCTCATAGGATAGTTATTTTACTTCTTGCCAAGTGAATTGACATGTAACATCACTAGCCATAGCAATGCTACACATAACAGACTACACAAGTAACACCCAATACTTATGCAGAGCTTTGAGTCTGTTGCGCTTAGTCACACCAATCATTTTTGGACAATGTTCTTCAGAATTTAGAGCTCCTTACATGCCATTAACCATGTTTTCTGGTCAGAAAGTGAATGTTTTAGCAGAACTGAAAGACATTAAAAGCAATAAATACTTGCATACTAGCAAGAGGCAAACAAGTATCTCAGGCAGAAGCAGAAAATGCTAATCAGCTACTTCTTGACGGTTTCTTTTCCAAAGCAAGTACAAGTCACTTCAACATTCCTCAACTTCACTCTCACAGCAGTGCAAGCTTCAGGAGAGCTGTTAATATAAACTTCATTTCAGATTATGCATATAAAAAGATAGCTGCTTTACTCTCCCCAACTTAATAGACGAGAGCATTAGAGTTCTGTCAGCAACAGCTAACTGAAAGCAATATGGTTACTGCCGCATGTACACAGTGGTTGGTTTTGCAGTGCAGGAGTTAACTAATGCCAGCTTCTGCAATCAGCCACAGTAAGCTGAGATTTAATTCTAGTAAGATATTCCTCCCATTAAAGAATGCCATGCAGGTGAGGAGCCAGGAGTGCACACAGTCAAACTGGCCACAAGTATATTTAACAAGCAAGCAGAGGGTCCTGCACCAGCATTCTTATGTATAAACCTATGTGAAAGTCTCCGTAAGTTCCTGTCACTTCAAATACACCCAGCATTACATCTCCCTGTTGATAAGACACTTCCCCTCCCAATGTAGCTATCTTCAGAATTGCAGCCTCCACTTGTTGAGTTCTTCCATCCTCCTTGCATTTTGGATATTCACAGTCTACTCTGCTGTAAGATCAGTAGCTAACACTCCACACCACCTACTCTCAGTCTGAAAGAGATGGAAACAGTAAATTTCCCTGTGTCTCCACATTCCTCCACTCCTGTAGTGACAC